CAAACCAATATTCCTTTGGTGAAAAATCCCAAGCAAACATAAGACTGCAGTACTATTTAATATGTTTTAAATTATTCTAATTGTTAATAATTAAATTAATAGAATTTGCTAAAAAAAAAATTAGAAAAAATTTATTATGTAATGTAAATTTGAATGTTTCTCGAAAAATTAATTTAAAAAAATGAGATGTTTATTTAAGTATAAAATCATCCTATTTTTCTACATTTTTTGTTTACATTAATATTAGACATAACTGGTTGATAACTTTACCATCTCATAAAGGGCCCGAAACGTTGGTTTAGTACAGGAGAGGAAACGACCTGATATGGTATCGTATTGTGAGACGATACCGTAGAGATTTATAAAGATAAACGACGTACTTTTGAGGCATGGAGAGAAATATTTATTATTCTTACGGAAGGTTTTCAAGAAATTACAAATACAGAAAAAAATGATATTGTAAATACAAACATTCATTTTAAGTACACATTTCTTACGTCTGCTCGAAAGCGTTCGTATCGTGTACGTACTCATCATTTTCTTGTCTGCAACAGACACGACATATTTTCGTGGCTAGATCCGACAAAGTTCTTGTCGTGTACAAGACCATTCTCACTTTTCTGTAGCAGGCACGTCAATTTTCTCAATTTTTATCGTGTACATGTTACCGAAATTTGTAAACCAATTTCGAGTACCTACCTCAGTTCTGGTTCCATTTAAATGTGAAGAAAATATTCCGTCTCTTAGGGTGTCAAATTAGGGAATGCAACCGGTTTATTGGATTCACCCGTCGTTAACCGAATTCAATGAAACGTGGCAAATACTTATATGTAATTCCACAAACTTTTGAAGTCAGTTTTTTTTAATAAAAATGTTATAATTATTAAGTATTAACGTAGACTTATATCAACACAATTGTGGACCTTATTATGTTGTCTGAAATGTAAATAAATAAAATAAACATCGTTCGAAATGAATGATTGTTGGGGCCAGCTTCCAAACGCGTTTGGCGCTGCCTGCTTCGATTTAAGGGGCTAAACATCTAACCCGCTATTAAATTGACTGCAATTACTTCAATTTGTTATTTCAGAGTCGGAATACGCGCGCATGCCACCCCTGTTTCAGTACGACGACTACGAGTCATGCTTGAGCCGTCCGGGAGGCCTCTACTGCACCACCAAATTTGACTTGGTCGCTGACGAACCTAACGAATTGTATGACCTTATACAGGTACGTGTACTTAAGCGAGTATAAACCGAACCGGCTTTGTTTTTCCATAATTTTTTACATCGAAAAATGGGGCTTGCCCACGATTATAGACGAGGCATAGTACATACTAACAAGTTTTGTGCACACGCAGTTGCTTTTTTATCTTTTTCCACATTTAAATTAACATGGAATATGGAACTCGAGTTTTGTGTAACTCGAGGACGTTTTTGAAAATGTCAACTCCACAATAAACGCCCACACAAAAGTTGCGAGTATTTAAATTCAAATGTATCTCTATTTCATAGGTAAGTGTAATTTTACACTTAAAAATCTTCTCCTTGTCGTGCGCCTGGTGGTATATGAATGTGGAAGCGTAAGGCTTCGAGCGAATCTTTGGAATATCCACAACATAGGGGTGGAATTATGCAGTACTAACCTGGACGAACTCCTTCACAAGGAACATTGCTGCTATTAAACTGCGCCTTAAGGCTGTAAAACGAAATATTTTTCGTCGACGTTTACGTCACTTACGTCACACTGGGCCTGCCTTCGAGCATGCGCGAGAATTCCTCAGAAGACGCGCGACGTGTTTTTGGGCTCGTATCTAGTTTGTACGTTACACAATTAATCATAAAGTTCATTACGCTATGTACAATATCGTTACTAAAATTCGCTTCCAGTCCATTCGACCGTAATATAAATTGAGTCTAAGGGTCGTACTCCAGAACTCTTGAGTATTGCAGTGAGCGCTGAGAATCATGCTCAAGTCCTTGCCATTAGGGTCGTATTTCCAGTGCTTGAAATCATTCTCAAGTCTGCTCAAATCCTGACTTGAGCATTGAGTAGAGTTCTGGAATACGACCCTTAGTGTGCGTGAGAGTCGTCAAATAAAGGGTGTCACTAAACCTTGATCTCTGTATGTCAACCCACCCCTGAACACGAGTCTGTTCTAACAAATGGTCATGACCGGTACTCAATATTAAATTTAAAATTAGTACCTATGTATGTTGTAAGTTAAACCGGAAACAACATTCGAATGACGGCAACTCAAGGTAAAACTCTTGATTGACAAAGAAAAAAATACCAACACGAAGGTTTAAGACTGCTCGCTGGGTTTTAAACTTTAAGCTGTCTTTTCATAAGTAGCATTTCAATTTAAATATAAACTAATATGTAAAGTTATACAGTGAATATATACAACCGCGGTAGCTTAATGGTTCGACACACCATCACTCAAGCAGAGGCCGTGGGTTCGGGTCCGGACACGCATCTTCTCTGAGTTCTTTTGGAATTTATGTGCCAAATTCGTGATGAAACCTGTACGTCGAAGAAGACCTCCGGTCCGAGGAACCTCTTTGTGAACTCACAAACGGGTCCCTCGGGTCCCTAGTATGGGCCAGCGTGGCGGACTATGGCCTAAACCCTCTCCTGAAAGGAAACCCGTATCCAGTAGAGGGATGTAAAAATATCTTGGCGATAATGATTACCGTGTAAGAAGATGGTAATGTAGATTAAGACTACATAAATATAGTTTGTACAGTATCTTGGCTTCGTTTGACGAAGGAACGGGCAACATTATTGTTACACCACCCAGTCTGTCGTGTGCTGGCCACACTGCCCCACTGTCTCCTGCGTCTCTCGGTCCGAACATATTTATCAAAACGTGGTAAAAATAATCATTTAAATACATGCCATATAAGGGCTGCAAGCTTTGTTGATTTGAGCCGGAAAGAAAAAGTTTTATGTCCATGCAGTACCTAAGAGCGAAATACCTAAACGATGCGCGTGTCAATTCTGCTATGACGGTCCCGACTGGAAAGGCAAAACGTCTTTTGCACTTCTCATGCTCTTAAAGTTCGTATTTATACTGGGTATAGGCTGCATAAAATAGGATTTTATGCTCTAGTGCATAAAATAAAAAAAACCGTCACATTAAATATGTCTAATTGTTGTAATTTTACATTCAATTTTAATTAAATAATCTTTTATTTGTAACATTGCTGTTTAATTTCCTCGCAATCGCAAAGTGAAAACCAGAGTTCATAAAACCCATTGTATCCACGGCTTAGTATCCTCGATATACTCGTCTCGGGTAAAATGACGCGTTTTATGCACTTGTTGTACAATCTACTATATCGGTCTTATTACATCGACATAAACTTTTTTGTGTGAACTCGTATGACACCATATAAAAGTGGGATGCTGCCAACATTCTGGGGCACTCTGCCGCGGCGAATCAATTTCCTACATTCAATCTAGCCTAACACTACTATTTAAGTTGTTAATGCATGTTAACCTTTGCACCGTGTTATTACCGTGTTATAACGTTGTTAATTGGTTGAATGACCTTGGCTGATCAAGATATGATTAGATCCTCGCACATAATGTATTTGAATTGTGACAAATTACATGCGCGTTACGGAAGGCAATATCAAGGCAAATCAACAGCGCAACACACACACAGTGTATGAAATTCTTAGGCCTTACACTGGATAGACACTATCACTGGAAAGCTCACGTGGAGTCTATATGCGCAAGATTAAATAGATTTGTATATGCACTACGGCGACTAACAGAGGTGGGAACAGTTGAAGTGGTGTTGAGTGCTTACCATGGATATGTAGCTTCAGTCCTACATTATAGTTTGCTGTTGTGGGGAAACTGTAGCAATATAGACAAAAATGTATAAGGTCAATATGCAAAGTTAACAATTTCAATAAGAAAGAAGATATCCATAATATTAACCTTAGAGCTAAGTCCAAACTCATGGTACCACGATTTCGTTTAACCAAGGTAAACAACTTTTTTATGGGGAACTGTATACGTTTTTACAATAAGATTCCGGAGCATATATTAAGTTTATCATTTCCTAAGTTTAAAAACTACATTAAAAATATTTTGATCGAAAAATCATATTACAAAATTGAAGACTACGTGTTAGATAAAGATGTATGGAAAGACGACATGGCTCCAGAATCCACACAAATATGATTCCAAGTGTATTCCATAGCATTTAAGTTTATTTGAAAAGAGCAATCCCTAGAGTTTCTTGCTCGTTCTTCTCAGGGAGGTCAGCGCGAGCAGTAGCTTGTGACGTTTTCAAGTGTAAATTTATTTTACCTATGGAATAAATAATCTTTGACTTTGACTTTGACTTAACTATAGAGAGTCATACAGACCTCTATTCAAAAAGTTGATTATCCTCCCACTCCCATGCATTTACACAAAGCAGATAGCCACATTTGTAAAACAGTGCCCTGACTTTTTTAAAACGTGGAAACAGTTAAACATAAGGAAACATCAACTTCGACATCAATTTGATAATATGTTGCGAGCACCATATTGCCGATTATCAAGCATTGAAAATAGCCCATACTTTATGGCCATAAAAATTTTTAACTCGCTACCTAGTGATCTAAGAGAATTGCCACTATATACATTTAGACGTGAAATAAATATAATTCTAGTTAAAGGTTGCTACTACTCCGTAAATGAATTTCTGGAATGCAAAAATAACTCGCAAATCAAACAAACCGATTGATATCTGTACAACTGACATATATATTTTCATGACATATATATCATTGCCTGCTCTTGCTTGGCAGAGACAGACGTGTCTGCCAGCATTTAATATTTAATTATTTATTATTTAAAACGATTATAAAACTGTAACTGTGTCAACGCAGTCTCAGCGCTTTTCGGACTGTTTTGAAGTGTTTGTGACATTACGCGCGCTTTGTGCTTCAAGTAAATTATGAAGTATGAATAGCCCGTTCAGCAGAAGTACGATGATGAGTCGCAGCCCACCCCCTGTAAGGCGGCAAGTGGATCAAGAGCCTAGCCCATGCTCAACTGCAGTCCCCGGCCCTGCACCAACTAAGGACATGATCTCAACCCCCGAAATTCAGAAATGGATGGCCCAAATAGAACACTGTTTGAATGAAATATGCACTATTGCTGGTGATGGGAAACTTAACACTGAGCAAAAGCTGAAAATCAGCAACATTAGCAGGTCAGTGCTTGGAGGTGCCTCTCAGATGGCTGTGCAATACCAGTCTCTGAAACAAAAATATATTTCGGCCAGTACTTTGATCAATGCTTCGGACGAGCAAGTTAATATCGCTGCCCAATTAAAAGACCTAAAAAACTGCGTACAATCTGTGCCTAGAGCATCACCATCTAACCAATCTTTTGCTGATATGGTTAGAAAAGGAGGCATGCCCCTAGTTTGTCCTTCGAAAACGAGCAGTATCGCTATTTACCCTGCTAATAAAGATACATCAAGTGACGTTACCAAGAAAATTCTACAGAACTTAATAAAGCCCGAGGAACTGAAACTGCATATCAGTGGTATGCGGAAAACAAAAGGTGGTGGTGTAGTCATCAGCTCAGAAAGGAAAGATGATTTAATAAAGCTGAAACAGTCAGAACAGTTAAAAACATCAGGACTGAAAGTAGAAGATGCTACTAAAAAGCGGCCAAAGGTTATAGTCCTAGGCGTTCCCTCCACCATCTCAGATAAAGACTTATTGGAGTGTTTATACGAACAAAATATAAGTGATAAGCACCCCAGCCTCACCAGAAACACTTTAGAAAGCTCTATAAAACTTAGCCATAAATCAGGCAGAAAGAACGAGCCCACCTGTAACTATATTTTTGAAGTCACAGCTCCCATACGGAGGACACTAATAGAACAGCAGCGTGTCTTTATTAATTGGACCTCCTGCCCGGTAAGAGACTACACAATAGTAACTAGGTGCTATAAATGCCAGCAGTACGGACACTCCGCAAAGTTCTGCCGGGATACTGAGTCCACGTGCGGCCACTGCGGTTGCACAGGTCACTCGATCAAGGAGTGTTCTAAGCATACGGAGCCCGCGAAGTGCGCCACCTGTATACGCTTCAATAAACCCGCCAACCACAAAACAGGAGACGAGCAGTGTCCAGCTAGGAAAAGCGCAGTAACCAGGTACATAGGTACTATTGATTATGAGGGCGCCTAGAGCGCCGCCCTCCTATCCTAATACAGCTTTATATGGGCACTAATGTTAATGATTTAGCACAGGACATTGATGCGACGTGTGAATTTCAATCCATATCATGCGACCCAGATAAGTGCCCCACGTTTATTTCTAAGTCTGCTTATAATTTAAAAATAGTTTTACAGAATATTAGAAGCATTAGATGTAATTTTGACGGTCTTTTAACGTTGTTAAATCCAACTAATTTTGAACCTGACATCTTTGTTTTAACAGAGTGTTGGTTACTCAATACACCATCGACTCCTCATCTGGACGGTTATAACTCATATTTCAGTAACAAAAGCAATGTTTTACAAAACGACGGCGTAGCGCTCTACATAAAAAAATGACCTTCCAAACGTCATAGTTGAGGAGCCTATAATTCTGGACGCTGTTTGATCGGAAAAATTGGGAATGATATTGCTGTTGTAGCGATTTACCGCTCTCCCTCGTACAAAAACATAAGAAATTTTTTACTCTCTCTATGTGACATTTTGACAACACTTTCCTCATTCCGAAATGTAATCATTCTTGGCGACTTAAATATTGATATTAAGATAGACAATGAAGATAGCAACTCAGCGGAATTCTTGAACCAAACAGCTTCCCTTGGTTACCTCCCTACCCATCTTCATCCAACGAGAGATCGTAACTGCATAGATCATATCTTAGCCAAAACCATTCTTGCCGTAAAAACAATAATTTTAAAAACTACTGTAACTGATCACTATACTTTACTACTCTGCCTACAAAAGAGCTTCAATAGACATAATTTTATCAGTACACATACAGTACTAAATAATGAAGGTGTGTCTCGCGACCTTGCAAGTTTAGATGTGTCCCCAATTTACAACTCTGCCGATGCAAACGTAGCAATGGAATATTTGGTCCGTTCGCTAACTAAAATCATTGAAATTAATACGACGACCAAAATATTTACGCGACGCAATAAAATAATTAAACCTTGGATTACCCCAGGCTTGCTGCGCTGCATTAGAAATCGAGATAAACTTCACAAAAAATTTGTAAAGTTCCCGAATAGTCCAATAATTAAAACCACTTATTATAGATACAGAAATTTATGTAACAATTTATTAAAAAAATTGAAACGTAATTATGAAAAGACTCAAATATTAAATGCTGGTCACGACAAAAAACGATTATGGAAGGTCATCAAAAATATCACGAACATGACTAACTCAAAATCGTCTGCCCTGCAACTCATTGCTAATTCTGTCAATGCAGAGCAAACTGTTAACGCAGCAAATTCTTTCTTCGCTAATATAGGGAAACATTTAGCTGAAAAGGCGCTAATCAACGCTCCACTTTCGACGTCGACCATGACCTCGTCTCACGCCACACAATTACACTCACTCGCCTTACTCGAAACGGACGAAATTGAACTTGAAAATATTATTATGACGTTAAGAAATGACTGTGCAACTGGGATTGACAAAATTCCCTGCTCTTTCATTAAACAATATAAGGATTGTTTGATTCCACACCTCACCTACATTTTCAACCTCTGTTTATCAACAGGAATATTTCCCAAAGTTCTGAAATTAGCCCTTGTGAAACCTATTCACAAAAGTGGTGATAAGTGCAATGTTAACAATTATCGCCCAATTGCTATATTGCCATCTCTTTCTAAAATACTTGAAAGAATAATTCACAAAAGGCTTGTACATTACTTAGAAAATAAGAAACTCCTATCGACCTCCCAATTCGGGTTTAGACCAGGACTATCAACAAACGACGCAGTTGACGAACTGACTGATTACATTGTAAGGAATCTAGACTCTAAGAATAAGTGTTTGGCTATTTTTCTAGACCTGGCAAAAGCTTTTGATACCGTAACCATCCCAATTCTCTTAAACAAGTTAGAAGCACTGGGAATTAGAGGAATTCAACACAAACTTTTACAGGACTACCTTTCTGACAGAAAACAGCGAGTGACGATTGACAAAATTACGAGTGATGAATTGCCTATTGAATACGGTGTTCCCCAAGGAAGTATATTAGGATCGATCCTATTTCTTGTCTATATTAACCAACTATGCACTCTTCCCCTCTCTAGCGGTAAGATCATCTCCTACGCCGATGATACAGTCCTACTTTTCAGTGCCTCAAGTTGGAATGACGTATTCACACAAGCCCAATTCGGTTTTAACTCGGTAACCGAGTGGCTCAGAGTAAATGCACTTACACTTAATACTGACAAAACCAAATATATGACATTCTCATACAACATCCTCTCTCAACCTGTCGAGAATACTTTCTCAATAGTAGCTCATCATTGTCCCAGTCCAAGGACTCAAGTTTGCGGCAGTGGTTGTCCAAACTTGGACAGCACAGTCAATATTAAATATTTAGGTGTCATAATCGATCAACATCTCAATTTCAAACAGCATGTTGTAGCGCTTACTGCTAGAGTTCGGAAATTAATATATGTTTTTAAAAATTTAAGACATGCGGCTAGCGGTGAATTACTCAAATCAGTATACTTGGCCCTCTGTCAATCATTGCTACTTTACTGCATTACTTCATGGGGCGGCGCACATAAAACAACTCTGTTAAACCTAGAAAAGGCGCAGAGAGCTATTCTCAAAGTCAGCAACTTCCGTCCTTTTTTCTACCCTACCCACAAACTCCTAGCCGAGTGCGATGTCCTTTCTATGCGGCAGCTGTTTATCTTGCAAATAATTTTGAAAAAACACTCAATCACTCCATTTGAGTCTAAGTCCTCATCCTGCCAAAGACGACTCAATACCTTCTCTTCTCGTGAACAACTTCGCACATCACACTCTCATAGATTCTTCTGCTTCCTTGGTACATTACTTTACTACAAATTAAATTCAACATTGCATTTTCATGCCTTGAATAAGATGGGATGTAAAAAGACCGTCAAACGCTGGCTTAAAAATAAAAACTATGATGAAACAGAAGGTTTACTAGAAGTTATTTCATAATTATATTGTAACAGCTAATTGTTTTATTCTTAATTAAATATAGCTATTTTGTTTTTAAGCACTAATATAATGAATCTGTGCACAAACAAGATGCTTAAGATACAGGTAATAATGTACTTAGTTTAGGCATCGCAACTATACTGGTAGGCTTCTAATAATTAATTGTATAGCTTTATGATTAGTATAATAATTAAGGTTTAATTTTTATTTATTTTTTTACCAATTGCATATCAGCTTCCCTTACATTTGTTTTTGTTTTTTTACTTATATTTAGATTAAGTTATATTGAAATAAATTTATCTTTATCTTATCTTTATCTTTATCTTTATAGCATTTAATCTGTACTATGCAATGTTTAATGTAATATAGTCATAATAGTAAAATCTAATGATAATTCAATATTGACATCTTATATGATAATTATAACTTCAATATGATAAGATAATAATAGATTTAAATGTAATACTTTGAACTTCTGAACTGACTTCAACAATTTGTAATAGTTTACTTAAGAATATTTGTCCGCCATTATTGGTAGATTTTTTGTGATACTTAGCACTGTTATTTACTAAACATCAAATTGTTACACCAAAAAATCACACAAATAAACAAATTTCATTTCATTTCAGGTGTGCACGCACACACAAAGTGCTGGAGCCTGCACACCTGAATAATGCTTATTCACTCTCGCCTTGAAAAGGCCCAACTTATAACGTTCAGGCAATATATCTGCAGGCCGGGATTTCCACTCCATACGCGTCGTGTGAGTCCTTAGAATATAAACAACATAAGTGTAAAAACCAGGACCAGCTTGTTAAATTCTTGCTGAATCCATCTCGAAACGGACCAAACTTACTTCGGTATCCTCCTTTTCTTCAATAAAACTCCGTATATACGTTTCTTCAGGTTGTTTGAGACTTAGGAAAGTGGACTATATATATTTCCATAAAACTTATTTGAACACCTTATCTCTACGTCCATCTGACTTAAAAGTCAAATGACAAATCGAGTCGGAATATCGAATAAGAATGACAATCTTATTGGAATCTTACACATATATATGCCGATACGGTGTCTCCAATACCGTATCGGCTTTATTAATGCGCCGCGGACGCCTCCCGACCAATCAGAGCCTCTGAATTATTGAAGTAATTCTACTCTTATTTGCTATTACCAACCAGGCGTGACTCGACCGTCCGTAACAATAAGGTAGACATAGTACCCCAGCCTACTTCTCTAGTCAGCCTAGTCTCCCGAGGGTGGAAAGGGGAATTTATATTTAAATTCAAATGTTTTATTTCATACATGTTGTTAAATATAGGTCTTAAATGAGTACATATAGTATCAAACATGAACCCTGTAAGGGTTAACACACAGCAATGTCAATTTTTAAGCACATTCTAAATATATTCAAAGTTGTATTACAATTTATTATATTTCATTTAAAATTAGATAAATTAAAAATATAGAAACTATTACAAATAGTCAAAAGTTGAATTAAGTGAAATTATTTTATTAAAT